AACACACCTAAATCATTTTATCAAACACTTTGTACATATTAAGAACTTAAATCATAAATTTCTTCATACTCCGAGGTATCAAACGTCTTGCTCTAAGAACAAGGACATCACCAAAACTCATATGTACCTTCCAATCGACCAATCAAACATAACAATTTCAACGAAGACAAACACAATTATAACACTTAAGTCATTCAATTCCAACATTAACATCATAACTCCAGTAATTAAATCATCAAACCATAATCAATAAAACATCTAATACATATCATTAAATACAGTTTTCATGTGATATAGTGAGGATTATACTTACCTCACTTGAAGTTTGGCCAATCCTTTTCCTTTTCTCCTTAGATTTCTTCCTCATACTTTCTCCTACCAGCTTCAACCAAGATGGAATTTTTCCCTCCTCATTTTCTTGATCTTCTAAACTAATTCTAGGATTATTTTAGGGTGTTTCAAGGTTGTCTAAGGTGGTTTGGTGGTTTTCCTCTTGGTTTCACTTGTTCTTCATTTGGTGTAACTTGAACTCTCAAAATTTTTAACCATTTCTTCCCCATCTCCAACTCAAATTTAAAGGAGAAGAATTCTCTTGGATTAACCAAAGTGCATCATGCTTGGATTAATCTCGAGTTCTTGTATTAATGGTGGTTCTATATTTTTCTCCATTTTTCCTCTTTTTCCCTAGTTTTTTGGTTGATTTTTCTCTTCCTTTCTTCTCCTCTCTTTGCTCGACTTATTCTTCTCTTTTTCTCTTCATTTTTTCAGATTTTTCTTGCTGGAATTAGTCTCCCAAAATTAATTAATAAATCCCCAAAACGTTAACACTTTATACTCTAGTCTCTAAACTTCTAATCCTTGCAATCTATCCCTCTAATTTCAGTCCATAACTTTCCAATTTCCCTCAATCTAACCTTTGTCCTAGGCCTTTTTCAAGAATAATTGAAGTCTAAATTTTTTTAATTATTTCAATAATGTACTCAAACTTTTAATTGTTACAACTACACCTCTAGATTTTACGATTACATCCCTTGGTCAAAGCGTAACCATAACAATTAATAGTACCAATCTCTAATTCACCCTTTTTTATTCTATTAACCTTCCATTATAATCATATTTGTAGTTAATTTATCCTTAATACAATTATAAACTTTCATTCCTCACTTTTAATAAATATTTCTTAATTAATTAACTAAAATATTCTTACAATATATTTAAATTCAAAGAGGATTTTAGGTCACGAAAATTACATCATCTCCACCTTATAAAAATTTTATCCTCGAAATTCCTTAATTAAACAATTTTGAGTATTTAGCTTTCGTTTCCTCCTCTCATTTCATGTTGCTTCTTTTATATCGTGGTTCCTTCACAATACCTTCACGATAGGAATTTGTTTATTCCTCAAAATAACACCAAAATTTAACCACGTCTATTTTATTAGTAATAGATATCATTAAAAAAATTTCATGAAATTCTAACAATCTAAACCCTTTGTTTCAATGTTGCCACACCTCTATAAGTCGAAATAACAAACACCCAAATTTGTTTCTTTCAAAACTAATTTAGCAAAAACTTTTAAGATGAATTCAATTATAACCAATTTTCAATTAAGGGATATGAATCACAACCTACTCGTAAGATTAAATTTAGATTTAGATATGTACACTAAAGATGCAAGGATACAAATACACCACTTCGACCATCTAAACACGATTGATCTTGTCACCTCCTTGGGAAAACAATGCTAGGTATAAGAACATGTTCTATATTATGTAAGCATGCCTATTTCTTGAGGATAAAACTCACTCTATAATTTTAATATCAATCGAGTAAAATTTTCGACATATGCGACGTACTTGCCCCTAAATAGCTAGGGTTATTAAATTCAGCCAAACCTAAAATTTGGGCCTCTAAACACATGCTAGGCCGAATTATATGATCTCTAAAATAAAATCCCAAAATAAAAAATATTCGCATCGATCAAGGATGATTTAAAATATTCTAACATGAAAAAATAAATAACAAAAATTTAAAAGGATAGTCGACCTAATGCTTAGAAGCATTCGGCTAGGTCTTCTTTTCTCTTGGAAATTTTTTACTTGATTATTGGAAACACTCCTGTGTCAATAACGGACTTAATCCATGCATGATGTTTGGTCCGATTGAAGTCAAATACATCAAGCGACCTATTAGGCTACTTGGACACCCCTTCTCAACTTTTCGAGCACCATCTTTTTTGTAGAACTTCTTTTTTATTTATTGGTGTTGTAGTTGGATTGTACTCCTCCATGTTGAACTTTTTAAGTATCTATTTAGCATAATTTTTCTAACGGATGAATATTTCGTTATGTTTTTGTTGTAACTCTATTCTAAGGAAGAAGGAAACCTTCCCAAGGTTTGAATAACATTTTGATAATGAATTTAGCAACACCCTAATGATTGATATAAACGACATTGCCACCATCACCACCATTGTACCATTAACAATGCTCGCCCGAATCATAGCAAGCATCAATTGATAGAACCATAAATAAATCTAAATTAAACTACAAGAATAAATTCTACTTTAAATAGCCACCATCCTTCATTGTCATCGACCATCACCGTCTCAACTCATCTTCTCCACCACCATTCTTCACAATCACCACAATCTCAAAAACAAAACAAAAGAGCAACCACATGATGAATCACCATGACTACAAGAGCAAGCACATCAAATTACAAAAATAATTTACATCATCCTCTACATCTTTTTTTTTTTAATCTACCTATATAGTCTTTTGGACTCTAATCAAAATTACGGCAATCCATTGCGAATCCACAATTGAAATCCTTCAAAAAAAACATTAGATTTTAAATTTAGATGAAAAAAGAAAAGGAATTGTAGCAATCCATAAAGTGCCCATATCGCCGCATCCTCGACCTCTATTAATATTGTGCACAACCTTCACTCTCTCTTGAATCTAGCAAAGCAATCTATAGGCTTAAAGTTAGTTGACTCTTTGTTCGGTTCAATTAATTTAATAATAATTTAGAACAACATGTAATTTATATTAACCACTATTATATTTTAAAAAAATAATAATAACTTTTTTAAGCATTCAAGTTAATGATAAATGCTTTGACCATAAAGATAAAAAAATAAATAATAAAAATTGTCTAGAAAATAATAGTCTTGGGTCTAAATAATCTAAATTGGTAATGAAGACCTTAAATTACTCTAATTTCAATTATTCATAAGTAATTGTTACCATTGAACTTTTTTAAATAGCTTGAATGAGTACATCTACGGACAAACTCATAAAGCTTGTAGATATTGTTTGGTAATAACTAACAAGGAATGGAACGGTGAAAATGAAAAATAAAAATTTTATTAAGTGCTTAGTTGAAAGAAACGAAATATGAATGAGAATAAAATTAAATATAGTTTCATTTTTATAGAGGATGTGGGAATAAAAATAAAAAATGAGAATGATTTTTTTTTTTCAAAATAGTGATATATTATTTTTATTTATTGTGTATCAATTTTTTTTACTACTACCACTATCTCCACCAAAATTATTATTATTATTATCTATTAAGACTCTTCCTTCACCATCATCATCACTTTTATTACATCGTTGATGTCGTTGCTTGCCTTTATTAGCGACAATTATTAAAAAATATTTTAAAAAATATATTATTATTATTATTATGCCACATTTCCTTCTCCTCCACCACCACTCTTTTTACTCGTCATCTTCCGTGATGGAGGCATCAATACATATATTTTTTGTTGCTATTACTATACTACCACCTTCTTTTTTATCATTATCACAATTACTTTTATCATTTTTATTACCATCTTAATTGATAAAATTATTTTTTAAATCATTCTTCTTATTCGTCTTAAAATCCGGATATTAGAAATTTTAAATTTCATTTTGATTTTCTATTACTATCTCCAACTCAATATGAAAAAGTAAATACCATTCCAAATCCTTAATTTTTATTTCGATTCCTACATTTTCATTTCTAATAACCAAACAAAACCTTGAAATTAAATAACTTGGTTTGCTTCTTAAACATTTTCTTTTCTATAACCTTGTTAGTTGGAATTTCTTTTAATGAATTCTTATATATATATGGCTTAATGTCTTTGAAAATCATGAACTATACACGTTTAATGATTTTAGCTCGTTCTTTAAAATTGTATAGAAAGATCACCAACTAAGTATCCGATAACAATACTAACATCGATCCGATTTTTCAACCAAAATTCCGATCAACGCCGACATGGTATATGATAAAACATAACACATAACTTTAACAAGTCACATAAGATCCATGTAAGCATGATATGTGGACTTTAACCAGCCACATAGGATCCGAGTAATTGATTTTCCACATCATTGCTGATTGTAGATCTTATGTGGCTTACTAATGTCCACGTATCATACTTACGTGTACTATCATGTTAACTTTGACCAAAATTCTAATCGAAAAATTAGATCGATTGTAGTATTATTATCAAAAAATCAAATCGATTATAATATTGTTATCGGATATTTAATTGATGACCTTTCTATACAATTGTTAAAGTACGAGTTAAAATCATTAAAAAGCATATAATTCGTAATTTTCTGATGCATTAAGCCTTTATATATACACACGTCGTAAATTCCCCTTTTCTTTTAATGAAGACAAAATTAATCACCATAAACATACTTTGGCTGTCGTGAGACAGAATGTGATTGCCAATAAACACTACTCCAACTTGCATGCCAACTACTTCTAATAAGTATAAAAAGGATAACGCTCTTGATTAACTCATGATCTGGGGCGACGAAACTTGAGGCTGAGATAAACACCAAATTTGCAAAATTTACTGACACAAGGGATGATTAAGCATGTGTTAAGCTGTAATCACATTGCTGTTATATCTCTATCTTAAACTACAACACGATATGATACATTCAAAGCCATAAATCTATATGCTATGTTACACACGACATTTTTAACTACAAAATCCCTTTCAGAGCAGATGGTGAACATATCATAGGGCTTTCGCGCTGATTCTTCGAAACGTAGAGCGTGCAAAGAGCTAAACCGGCAACTCTCCATGCAAAGCTGCATTTTCTAACAACTCCTTCAATCTTGGCATGATTGTAAGTAACCTGATATAGAGCCCTGGCCTCCTCAAAGATTTCCTCATCTCTACGTTTGCTCAGATTAAATTCCGCAGCATCATATAAGATCTATGTAAGATGATAAGTCAGCAAAGATGGAAGCAAGAGTTATCTCCCAGACTACTTCAATGGGAAAGGATTAAGCATATGAGAAATACTATACTGACCTCCTTATATTTTTTAATGACTTCATCAGCTTTGTCGTTTTTCCCTTTACCAGCCTTTAAAGCATTGCACATATCTTTCTTGTATTGATCATAGTGTGTCTCCCACTTCACAATGTACGACTCATTGACTTCATCGTCAAAGCAAGGGAGTTTCCAAACATCTAGGAGATGGAAAAAGCAAGCATCCTCAATTAAATGACCATTAGTAAATGCTATATATATATATATATATATATATATATATATATATATAATTTTCAAGTCCAAACTCCTGAGAAATTTAACCACCACATGAGGTTCAAAGCTTTAATGTTTTGATTCTGAAAACCCTCACCATTTGATGACAGATCCATATCTTCGTATGCTTTCACTTTATCATAAATTTTTCCCAAGATAGAAGTAGATCGATAAGATTGCTCTTCTTCTCTTTCCATAAAATGTGGGAACAGATCTGCCTTCAAACCTTCTGGAACTTCAATCTATTTGAAAGCAGGACAAGGTTTTGTTGATTTCAAAATATTAATAAATAACTTCAAAGTAGATATCATCAAAGAAACCACCCCATACTAGATTCTGCATGGATAATGCAAATTAGAATATCTTTGGCCATACACATAATCACCGAGAACATAAACTTGTTATTTCTTCACGTAAAATCCCTTTGAATGGCCGAGTATTTGGAGTTTTCATTTTCTTTGCTTCTTGTAAAAAAAAAAAAAAGCCATTCTGCATATATTGAGTGCTTTTTATTCCTTCATCATCTCAACAACATACATCGCATCGAAAAAATTTCAGAGTAATTTTTCTGATTTGAAAATAATCAAATGTGCTAGAATGTGCAGAGTTTAGATTTGTCCATCTCATTTGAGTAGTGCCAAGTGCCAACTAGTATGAAAACCACACAAGGTAGTCCCCTGGTCATGACAACTAAACAGTAGACAAGCAGAGCTTGATATACAGAGGGTTTAACGTTCCAACAAATTGCAGAAACCAAATCTCAAACATTATTCTCAAGTGCAGGCAAGGACTTTTTATTTGTCAAGCTATTCAATGAACTTCAAGTGTCCTCAAAGTAAATTAAATAGCATATAAATAGTAATACACCTTGTATGGGACAAGATGAAACGCATAAATTTGGCACAGGTAAACAAAAAAGAAACTCAGTTAAACTAATAATCAAGGAATTGGGCTGTAATTTTTTTTATTACAAGTCAGACTCTTTCAAATGTAAATCTCCTTGTGAATGTTTCCACTGTATTAACTAGCTTAATTATACTTAATTTAACCAGATATTGATGTTCGGTCCAATATTTGTAGAGCTCATGCGTTCTCTCATCAACCATCTTAAAGCATATGAAATTGGTAAAGCTGATCTTTATTATATCAAACAGCAGAAACCTAGAAGTTCTAAAGGCTTGTAGACAGAGAAAGCATCAGGGAATTCAATCTGCTTGGCCATGTTCACATGAAGATTGGGATAAGTGATCATCTAAAAGTAAATTTAATACGTCATTCATTTCATCCAATTTAGAAGAAACAAAAACATAAGCATTTAGTGTACATTTGACAGCTGATAAGCTTGGAAAACTAACCTTTCTTCCACCTTTCTTTGGAGCATCTAGTGCATCATAGTATATATCAATCAACTGATAGATATTCTCTTTCATACAAGCTTTCTCTTCTAAGGAATCAGTTCCCAGTGTTAGAAGTCTATCCATTATTGCCAGCCAGCTATCTGCTGCAACCCCCACAGTGTAACTGAAAGAAGCCAAAAGCTTTGAAACATTGAACTTGGTGATGAAGCTACACAACTAAGATAGATTATATGCCTTTCATCTTTCTACAAGCTTATATTAAAAGGATCCATACCACAGAAATGACAGTTTACGCTGGGTGTCAAACTCCCGCAACCCTCCTCTTTATTCAGGCTTGGGACCAGCTATTCTAAACTAAGCTAACCTAGCGAAGTTTCATCTTTCATAAAATTATGACAAGAAATTTTCAAAGTCAGGAGCAACAAATGCTTGAGACTTGACCCATTCAAAAAAATAAGATACAATTTCAAAATTAAATCACAGATGTGATTTATTCTATCAATAAAATAATTCATAAATTGAGATTAATGGGCTCGAGCGGAGCATCCTAGTTCAAAAAACGTAGTTTTTCTAATCAAACTAAAAAACTACAGAGACTGTGTGATAAGCAAAACTGAAGCATTGTGGCCGGCTGGTTGAAACAGAATATCATATTATGCGATCAAGTGTTTACCTTGGTTGAAACCTATTCCTCAAGAATAGTTTGAAAAGCTCAGCCTCCAACTCCTCATCTGAGAATTCACTTGGTTTTTTGTTAAGCATATTAAGGGTTGAAGAAGAAGGTGTCCAAGGTTCCGTTTGTTTGAACTTTTGCAGCAGCTGATGAGAGAACAAAATGCAAATGATTAATTGTGGAAAATATAGTAATTCCACTCAATTAGGAACATAACAAGGAAATTTACTGATGGCGGACGTTGGCAGCAGCCCCCAAAGGTCTTTAGAAGACGTTCTAAGAATAATTCCATTGCTCAAGCATTGATTTGGCACATGGCTAATGATGGAAAACTTAGTTGGGAACTTGAGTAATTGATTAGGGTATTATAGTAATTTCAGATCTGCTGGAAAATCTGAAATTATAGTATTGTTGTTTAAGAATTTTATTAGTCCTAAAGTTATTAAGTTTTCCTATTCTAATTAGGAATGGTTACGTTAGAGGTTTAGGAATCCTTGTCCTAATTGGATTTGAACTTCTACCACTCTATAAATTCAGCATGTACTCGTTCAATATTCAGAATGCAATAACATCAAATAATTTTCAGCAAGTTGCTTTTGATTGTGTGATTCAGTCTCCCTTAAGTGTAACTTCTAAGAACCTTAGGTTTGACTCCTACAAACCCTATTATTGTGACTGTAATAGTTCTATTACTCCCAGCAGAAATACATATTCATACAGCCCCAAGCAGCCCTAAACAGCCTCGAAACTCAGATTCAGAACAACCCCTAAGTGGTCCTGCATCATTTATTGATAAGAGAGAATAAATTACTGATAGGTCATGAAGGTTTGACATCACTGAAGGAGATGACAGAATAAACTACCAACTCATTTTTGAAAGCACTACCTGAATATAAGATGGATACCCAAATGAAGGAATGATAAGATGGCATCAAAATAATTTACACATACTTTTACTTCTAGCTGAATTTGATTGGAAATAAGAGAATGGTTAAAGAACCTGACTCATAAAAACATCTCCCAGCATACACAATTGCAAACCATTTTTTTCCCCCTAAATAACCTTCAAATCAACAATCACAAAATAAAATAAAAATAATAAATAAAATGGATATTCTTTGAATACACTTAGATTGAGAAAATAAAACTGACCTGCGGATTTCTTGACACAAAAAACATGTCACCATCAAAATCACCACCTGACATCTCATCTGCCAAAGACCGCGGTCCTTTGCATGGGAAAAAAATAGCATACTTTGCATTTCCGACAAACTCTTCCAATTCCCTCACGTATGTACCCTTTAGAATGTGAATATCTCCAAAGTGTAAACCTGGATTTCGATACACTAATAACTCCCCTGAAACATGGCCATTGTCTCTACATATTCCATCAAGAAAGAAAGCATCTCATAAGTACATAGACAACTTCAATCCAAAAATAGCAGCTGTGAGGGTGGGGGTGGTGTGTGGTGTTTTGGGGGTGGTAAACTATGCACATAGATAATAGTAAGGCATAGAACAAAGCTTGTGACTTCCAAATTCTGCCAGTTATATATATTTGTGTCACGTTAGTTTTCAGATCACATAATAGAATAGAGACATGCCAACAACATACATACAGTATTATACAAACTTCATTACTCTCCAAGAGTCCAGTCGGATCAGCTGTCCCCATCAAATAATATGATTCAGGCACGGGTATTTTTCCTCCTCTCAGACTCTTTTTTCTTCCTTCATTAGGATTGACAAACGATCTTGCAAATATGGTTCTTCTAGTGGAATCCCACAGCTGATCATTGTTGCCACAAGGTTATCATCCATATCCCCATAGTTAAGTGCAACTGAGTGTAAAGCAAAAATTTTGTTGAAGTTACTTTATAGGAGTTGGAAACACTGAAAAAAAATAAAAAATAAATGAATGAACAACCAACTCAATGGGAATGAACCACCTCCTGGGAAGATTAAGATAAGTTATAATCCAGTAAAATAAAATGGAGATAATAAAGCATATAAATCCATTCTGAAATGGTAGGTGCAGATGCATAAGGAAATAGCAAAACAGAAGAAGTTGATAAGTAATCAATGACATTAATGACAATTTAATCTTCACAAAAGAAACCAGAATCAGAATGAAAACCTGAAACAAACACTTTCTATCAGGGAAACTACCTCGTAGAGCTGCATTTTTTTTGAGAGAATACCATGTGCATCTTCCAGAGCACTATTCAATATTCCCATAAAAAACTCTTCTGGAACCCCACCATAGCTAAGAAGTGCAATTAAATTCTTTGAAAGGAACGTTTTCTTCGGTTGAAGGCTGGGAGATGAAAATTAAGAAATGTCACCATATTTTTCTCTCATTGGATAAATCATAGTTAAGGGCTAATGAAGCTGAGAATCTAATTCTCTCTCAGAAAGTTTATTTATCAAGATACATCACAATGGTTCTAAGCCATTCCAACTTGTTGGCAGCTTTCTATTTATAATTATAAAAAAAACTAAAAGATTTGGGTTCAGTTATCATTCACGGTACTATTCACTAAGATTCATGTATACTATTCATTTTTACTATGCAGTAGCATTTTCGTGATTTTCGACCTTTTTTAGGCATTTATTTTCAAATTTAACATTGTGTTTCATTTTGATCCTGATATTTCCAAAAGATATTTTTAGTTTCTAGAGGAACCAAGTATGAATGCTTGCTTTTTTCTTTTTTTTTTTTTTTTGCTCTTTTTTCTAGCTGTTTATTTTTTTTTATTTTTATTTAATTGTGTGTGAAAATTATGAAAAACTAATTGTTATTTTTTCAACTTTTTATACAAACTTGATTATGAAATATATAAATTATGTTTTTTAGATTTTATATATATATATATATATATATATTACTCTTATTATTTAAAATTAATTTTTTTTAATTTGTCTTTTTTATAAAAGGATATCATCAAATTAATTTTTTGATGTAATTTTATTTGCTAACAAATATAGTTTATTTTTCTCTATACATGGATTTTTGAATATTTTTTTAAATAAATAATCAATTGAAAAATCAAATTCAATAAAATAATTAAAATAATAATTTAGAAGGACCTTCTAATAATCCGAATATAATTTTTATAATAATATTATTGATTATTTTCTAAATAAATGCATATAAATAAAATGTACACATTTTAAAAAATTTTATCTTCTCATCAGCATTAAACTAAAAAAAAGTTATTTATTAATTTTTATACAATTTTTTATATTAATTGTTACCTTACTTTTTCGATATAATTTTTTGAAAAAAAAATATTACGACATTTTTAAAATTTATATTAAATTTTTTATTTAAATTACTAAATGTTTTTATTTAAAAATGAGAACATAAAAAACCAAAAAACAAAAACAAAAAAAAAAATTATGAAAAACATAAAAAATAAATATAAATAATTGATTAAAAATTATGAAATTAATTTCATAATATTAAAAAAATAGTAAATAGTGTAAATACATAATTAATTTTTAATAAGATCGATGATCTTAATTTTTGTTTTTTATATATTATGATCATACTCGAGTACGTCACTTTTGTGCCACATAAATCAAAAAAATATTTTAAAAAAAACTTAAATTTTAAGAAATCTATTGAAGTTAATAGAATATAATAAAAACCACTACAAAATTAATTTTAAGATATTTTAATTAGATAAAAAAATGAACAAATAGAACACATAAATTTATTTTTTAATTGATTACTTATTTAAAAAAAACTTATTCAATAATCCATACACAAATAAAAATAAATTATATTTATTAACAAATAAAATTATATATATATATATATATATATATATATATATATATCAAGAATAATAAATTTATTTGATGAAAGCTTTCTTAAGAAATGATAAATTAAAAAGATCAATTTTAAATAATAAGAGCTGTGTTTTTTTAATTACAAAATTTAATAAAAACATAAAGAAAAATAAACTAAATATACATTATTTATTAAAAATTATGAAATTAGATGAAATATTTTATTTTACCTTTAATTTTATATATCTTAGTTGATCAACAACATATTGTAGGTTATTAAACTGAAATAAATATATTTTATTTGACCCGTAGCATAACAGGAGAAGCCAACTAATAATTGCAAAAACTCATATCCAACCAGTGAATAGTGTACCAAGCATTGTCAATTACAATAAATAAATAAATAATGTATTAATTTAGTGCTTCTTTTGTTCATAGTGAATTAAAAAAAAAAAAAGGGGGCATGTCAAGTGGTTCGCTGAAGCAAAGCTAAACGTCAAAAGTAGAGAAGATACAAGCATTAAAGTAATAACAAAAACAAAAAATTAAGACTCATGATGAACATACAAGCATTACCTGGTTCCAACTATTTCCAAGGAATTTTTCGTGAAAGTATTTGATAGTTGTGGATCTGCCTCAACCTTAATCATAGAATCCTGCCTTATGCACAGGGTTTGACAAGGAAGCTATAAAACAACATTGAAAGATATTAGCCAAATAAGAACCAAGTCACCCACAAACCCATCAATAATCACAAGATATTGGATTTCAAAACTTTCTTCTTGAAGTAATGTGATTAATTTATTAATGTGTCTTCGTGGCATAGCAGAAAACCTGGCATAAATGTCCACAAATTTCACTTCAAAGGTTTCTCAAACTACCTTTCCGATGCAGATAGAGATGTCTGCAATTTGGATCGGAAAAGGCAATAGAGGTGAGAAAGGAAAATATTTTGACAAAAAATTGGAGTAGATTAAACAATTCAAGACGGGAGTATGTTAGCATAATATCCAGCCTCAAACTGAAAATATTCCATTCCGACAACCATGAAACCATGATTGCTAGCTACTCGATCAACCATTTACTGTCCCAAAGTAGATAAAATAGACACCCCCCCCCCCCCCCCCCCAAAAAAATAAATAAATAAATAAAATAAAATAAAATAAAATTCTTACATCAAAAGCCCTTACTTTTCTGAAAAAATAGAAAGCACAACCACTGCATTGCATTCAAACTAAAGATACAACTTCAAAGTTATGAAAGTCCTGACATGATTAAGAGATATGTGAAAATTCTGTAAAATTTAAAAATCGTCTTTGTAACAGACTAGCCTCATTGAACCTTAAAATATGGACAGAAAAGTAACATTCGGATCGTCCTCATGTCATAAGGGAACAAGAGAACATGACTGATCATGTTCCAACCTCAGCATTAATTTTGAATTCAGTGATCTAGATTAGGTGAAACAGAAAAAAAAAATTCATTTGGACATAGAATAAAATAATGTCCATTCATGACAAATCACGACACAAAGGAATATGAGAGGATCTCAATCCAAAAAAATCAACTCATTATTATTTCCATGCAACAGAAAATTCCAAAACTATACCTTCTTATTCACAAGGAAAGTTCCCTTCACAGCTCTACCGTTATTGAAGAGACGAAACTGGATCAGCAAAGGCTTGGAAAAAGAAATAGAAAGTTAATTGATTCCATGTCCTCAAATAAATAATAAAATTTTAAAACCTGAGAAACGAACAATGGCTGTGAGATGCACATACTGGCTCCCCATAACGACATTCTGGATATTTCTCCATGACTTCATTATGAACAGGTAATCTCTGGCAGTAAAGAAAAATGAAAAAACATATGAGCCAAAACATGAATCATTTTTTTATCCAAAAACCAAAAACATGAACATATGGATGGGAAAAAGCAACAAAGAGGTAAACCATTCCCTACATAAATTATAAACTCATAAAAGAATAAGCATGTTGAAGTGGATCATTGTCAAACTTGAAGTGGGTGGTTACCGTACACAAACTAAAACATCAAAATACAAAAGCTAAAGTACAGTCATCAAAAATTTATGTTCATCAATGTTCATTTTGAGAAAAGAATACTTATCCTTCTTTAAATAAAATTTACTCAACATGTATCAAAGTGAAATCAAGCCCATAACCACAAACCTCAATAGTGGAAGCTTTTAAGGTAGTTCCTTTGAACACATTCTTTGGGCATTTCAGAGCCAAATCATGCGATATAAACCCAGTTCCATCAGTATGTATGAGAGTTTTCCCATCTTTACCGTGAACAACATTACCATCTTTATCCTGCAATGATAGAAACACAAAAAAGAACAGCATATTGAATGGACAAACAGGTGTGTATAACCAGAAAGTATCAAGCCATAACTTTGAAAAAGAAAAGCAACGCATAAATTGTACCCGGCATGGTTCATCAGGTATAATCTCAATACGTACACAAGATAAATCCACTTCCAGGTTCATAGTCTTCGACAAAATCAGTGAAAACCTGAGTCTCATCAAAGAATGTTAATCTCAAATTGCTAACAGAGGATGTTTAAATATGGTTCTCAAATATGGGTGAGGGGAGATTTTAGTGTCACGAACCTAGCCATATAGTTGGACAAACTATCCAAATTGTCCGCATGCATAAAGAGAGATCGAGCTTGACGGATTGTTTTCCCACACAAAATATACTCTTGATTGTCAATCGATGCAACAGATTCCATGCGGACAAAAAAACACTTCACAGGAGATGTAGTTGGGTCTTTCTTTTTTTCTTCTTTGCCTCCATCTTTAAATACTGGTCAACAACCAATTTCAGTTGAACAAAATGATTATCCTAGAAGGGTTGCAAAAACTTAAAAGCACAAAAGATGTTCAAAAGACCATGTACAATATATGTATCACCTGCCATAGTACCGTAACACAAATATGTGACAATTTTTGCCTAAACATTGAGTTTTAAAATTGAAACTGTGCTACAACTGGTGATCATACTCAATTTCATGATAAAATAAGTGAAACTAACAAATTTTGCAATGGATATGAGAGCAACAATACGAAACAATCTTTATTCCTTGAAGATTAGTTTGTATGATTCCTCTGGCATTATGGCCTTTACCACAACAATGTTGTCTATAGATCAAATTATTTCATGTATTCAATTTCACTTGACTGTCTAAGGTCAGCTGCATGCGCTCGGGGTAGAAGTTTTGTATAGATGTATCGACATGCTATTAAGTATTTTGATTTATGTTCTTTCCTTGTAAAAGGTGGAATAGAACAAACCCAATTGAAATGTAATGATCATACATCTGTAATGCATTGTATGTCCCATAATAGATCTCATTCTTCTACCCTTGTTTTTCCCGAATGTCGATGCCTATTTATGGCTGTCACCTTGACACCAAAGAAGAGAGTCTGACCCAATGCTTTATTACAGTCCTAGTTGATCCTAATTTGACATTAGAAGTATATTGAGTTTTCCCCAATAACCAAATATTTTTCTCTGTAAATACTGCATATTTGATTTCATCTATAAATCTATTTTCTTTGCCTATGAGTTCTAGTCTCAATAAGAATGCTAGTTCTTACCATTCATATGTTATGATATGAATATACCATACCAATTCGTTATGTATGAATGATGAGATTCCATTGATGCACAACCAATTCCAATAGATTTATTGGAGGGTCCCATTGGCATGCATCCAGTAGGAATTGAAACTAGGATCATCCAAAAGTCAATATTCATACACAAGAAGCAATCTATAGACTCACCAAAAAAGCGGTAACAACGCAAACCGACGAGAATCCCTTCTCTAAGAACCTTGCTGTACTTGGCAAAATAATCATCCAGAGGACTACTCACTGAATCTCTCACGTCCTCTGCAAACTTGACCATCAAGACACTGTCATCCCCCAGGGTCCTTTGCAAGAAATTTCTCTGCTTGATTAGGTAAGGTCCCTGTAATAAATTCAATGAATAAGACAATGCTAACCCAAAAGATGTCTTCTTTTGATAATAACGCATCAGTAGTTTCTCTCAATAAGCAATAAGCAACAGTAGGATATCACTATAAATAACATAAATGTATCAGAACTCTTGGATAGGAGCATTTCTTGTTATCAACATCTGGAATAAAAGAATTGATATAGGTTTAACTACGAAGGAATTTCATGCAATTAATAGCACAAATTAACCAAGATAATACAATCATAGAGTTGAGGGAACAAAATTAAGCATCTAAATTCAAAATTTCCAGCATAGAAAAGTTTTGATCGTGAATCATCAGAAGTTTTTTGTTTTTGTTAAAAGTAAAACAATTGATGGTTCAAGCATGCATAACTATGTGATTAAGGAGAAATTCAAACCTTGAACCTGTAACTTCCATCTGGATAAACATGGCAGTGATAGATATGCGTTTTCCCAGAATCCCAATCAAGATACTGCGATTTTGCAACAAACAAAAGTAAAAAAACAGTGTATTATATTCTGTTAAGCATTCTATAAAAGCAATTTACACGTCCACATTCACTATACCCGCGACTGAAGCACCCAAATAATTCACATTTCAAAAGTGAACAAGTTAAAGAGAATAAGACCCAGAAGTTTTATGACATATTTACCTTGACACGATCTTCTTCCTCTATATAACCACACCTACATCCAAACTCTACCCAAATTTTTGACTCAAATGTTGTCATTGGCAAATCTTTCAACCGCCTAATTTGGTCAGCGGATACAACCTCTTCCAAACTCTTTCTGTCGATATTTTTTAAAAATAAATTAATCCTAATCAATCCAGAAGCTAGCAAAATACAAGAAACCAAAAACAAAACAAAACTTACCCTCCAATGTAACTTAAAATGAGAAAAGCTTTTCTAAACTCAAGCTCTCCCAAAGCCACCAGCTGTTGACTTACTGTTGACTCACTACCTCCCTGTCTATGTGAATCCATAGTTGAACCTTCAAGCTTCAATGGAGTTGGAGATTGAGCACCAAAATCACCTATATCAAAACCACCACATGAAAAAATATAAATATAAATCAACCCAGAACCTAAATTACATTATTGACCTTCACAGACAGTAAATTTTCTACACAGTGCTGGTTCAAAAAAAAAAAAAAAAAAAGCTGTAAGAAGAAGTAGATTACTTGGAGAATTCATCAGCGAACGGATTGGTGTAATGTGGCTCCAAATCTGCTGTTGTTGAGGAGGAAGAGAGCACTTGTTGGGAGAAGGATAAGGAGGAGAAGAAGAAGAAGAGACATTAACGTTAGAAGAGAACTGTTTGGCCATGTCCAAAACGAAACCGTCAAAACATTTTCTAACCTCTTGATCAGGAGACATCGTGAGGCGAGTTTGGGTGACTAAAAGACGATCGATCTTTTGTTGTTGATACTGAGGAGACAAACACAAGCGTTTGGTGGGAGAAGGAGAAGAGGTACCACTACTACTGTTGGAACTAATGGCCAAGTAGAAAATGAAAGCGTCCAAAGTTTTCCTGATTTTGTGACCGGAGATTTTATGGAGGATATTAAGCGCCTCTACCTCGCCTAGAGAAGCAAGTTTGTGCCTCGTTTTGGTTTCTAACGGCCTTTGATTCTGCTCCATACAAATTTTGGTTATCAATTGCTCAACAGAAGGAGGAAGTGGTACCGTTCGATCTGAATAATTATTAGCATCCGCCATTGATAGGCTTGTGCTTGGCTGATTTGAAGCTGAGGTGTTTGACTTTTGGTTTGTTTAAGAAAGAGAGGTTGATAGAAATTTGAAGAGAGGGAAAGAGCGAAGCACTAGGGCTGTTGCGTTCGAATATAACGATGGTTTGTTTATTTTTTTCCTCTGATTTCCCGATATTTGAAGTAGTGATAGCGACAGGGGTAGACGTGTTTTATAGAGTTTGAATCCAAGGGTCAAGAAGTGGGTCCCTTCCGCTCCCTCAAAAGTAAACCTTCTTGTATAAGTTATCCCAATACGGTCAGGAAACATACATAAAAAGTAAACAAAAAAAAGATATGCAGGAAGATAGATCAAGGAATGTACTGAGTCGTGCTTAGTGATTAAGCGATTCTCATCATTCTCCTACTCGTCCATCGCAGTTTTTTATTATTATTATTTGAAACTGACCATCAGTCCAATATATTTGGTGTAGCGATCGTACGTCCGTCAACTATTTTTTGTGGAGTATAAACTGGCTTTAAACTGGAGATTACAATTTTTTAACAGGAATAAACTTTACAGAAGGTTCTAATTGTTTATCCGTACTGTATTGTGAATTAAATAAAATATATAAAATTATTTTATTTTGATTTTTTTGTTATATTATATGTATATCAAAATATTTTAAATTAAAATTAAATATTTTTTTTAATTTTATCATTTTTAATCAAAATTTTATATTTTACTAATTATTCTTTATATTTTCATAAATTTTTTATTAAAAAATATTATTTATTTATCTCTATCTATATTTTATCTTAAAATTTTTAATTAAAAAAATCAGAGAAAAAAATAAGGACCAAAGTAAGCAAAATAAAACCAAAAAAGGGACCAGAATTAAATAAAAAAATACTTATGAATTAAAAAAATATTTAAAAAAAAACTAAAATATAATATTATGAAAACTTTCATAATAAATATCTTAAAATATTTAAAAATTATAAAAATATCATTGCATAATAAAAGGAACGATGCATACGAGTATATATAAATAATATATATGATATGAGTCTGAATAAATAGTGTTTGAAATAATAAAATCAATAATAAACTATGTTTTGATTTAGTCATGAAAAAGGAGATTCTAACCCTGAACTTCTTTACAGGAAAGTCCTAAACTTTTGCCATCAAGCCACCTTTTATGGTTCCTGGGGAAAAAAAAAAGCTCTTTGTTCTTTCTATTACTTTTTTTCTTAATGAAAGTTTGTTTTTTATTAATTTGTTCCGCACAATATTTACATCACATCAATTAAGTTCTTGAAATTTTTACTTTCTACGATTTAACTTGATATTTAAATCGTGATCACACAAAATAATAATGAACAAATACCTTTTAATGGGTTTAAAGATAAAAATATCTTTGACCATTTACACCTATCCGCACTGAATTTCTTTTCAATTAGATCTGAGTGGAGTATTTATGTCCAAATTAATTTATTCATAAGACTTTTATCTCCCATTTTTTAGTATTCCTTAATTTGGAATATTTGAACCTAGCTAGCTTCTCAAGTTCACTTTTTTGGTATTCCTTGGGAATATTTGAACCTCGCCTATGGAGTATTTCAGCAGGTAAATGTTTCACCAACGAAAATACATATTGTTTATTGATAGAATTTTCATCTGTTTTTTTAATGCCCCAGTGATAATAAATAGGCAAAAATATGCAACTTGCAAGGATGATAATAAAAATTCTGATGAGACATAGATATAATATACATTTGGCCTTGTCCAATGTGGCATCAACATGCTTTAAATTTGGCCTTCATTCAAGGATAGAAAAGATATCACCCTTTATATATATATATATATATATATATATATATATATATATATATATATATATATATATATATATATTCTAAGAAATTATACATATTACCCATGTTAAGATTCTTCCTTTTGAAATTCTACTTGTAATATATTGTGAAAAGTGTGTCGATACTTAATTTTTTTCATAAAAATTTAGTTAATTTTATTATTCCTTCAGTCTAAAAAAAATTGTACCAGGTAGATTCTTAACGAACATATCTTATAAGTTTTATTGATTTATTTTGGGATGGTAGACTCTATTTCAAGGAAGATTAATTGAAACTTGTATTATTTTTTTAATTATTTGAATTGATTGGAAATTGTTAGATATTCCAGAGTTGGAATTTTTGACCTGGAGATTGAATAAAGGGCTAGGAATTTCTGATTGATTTGAAACTTTGACAATCATATCTTTTAGTCCGTATTAGATCAAGTATAAAATTACATAAAAATCTAAAAAGAAAAAGTTAGGTTTTAGATTGCTCAAAGTTTTAGAATTTTGGTTTTGCAAATGGAATTTCGACTTGTTGATAGAGGAACCCAAGATTATTGGATTGACCTAAAATTTTGACAACAATTTTATCTAGACTTCATCCACGTTGTGTTAAAATTTTAGAATTTTTTAATAAGTTTTGCTAGGGTTTTGACACTACTTAATATTTTAGGTTTTGTTAGAATTTTGGGATTGTTTATTTTAAGTTGTTTGATTATTTGAAGTGTATTTGTTGATTAATGTGAGATTGCTTTGAGCTAGATTATTGAAGGAATATTTGGACTAGGTGGATTTTGGGTGTTTTATTTTTATTTATGTAAAAGCTTTTGTAGTGTTTATACATCTCTCAATCCGGATAGATATGTTACATACAACTAAATACCCATTACAAATGAAGACATACGCAAAATGATAGTTAGATGCTCATGCTCGTACAATCATATAAAAATAGGTGATGATGATGATATATATAAGATCAAGAAAGGCATGCAAATGATAAAGAATTAGCTTTTTTGTGAATGAAAAAGTATAAATTAAAGCTAATAAAGTGTGCATCGAAGTCTCTACATCCAACTTTTTTGGATTTCTTTTTATTCGAAACGAGAGGGATAGAAATAGAAAAGAACAAGGTTAAGGTCATAATAGATGCAAAACCTCTAAAGAATAGAGTCGTCTTAAATTTTGGAGTTCCATCGAATACCCGAGAAAGTTTTATTTCAAATCATATAAGAAGAACCAAGATTTTTTCATCTCTCGTTAAATCTAAAATTAGAAGTAAAAAATCATTCGAAAGCAAGAACACCAAGATGCATTTGATATAATCAAGTACACCCTATCATTCAAACTCTTGCTAAAGTAGAATATGGTTTATGTTTGTCTTAGCTCTTTATAATGTGCTAACAAGTTCCTAATAGAACTTTCTATAATGCAATGTTTTACGAACCAAAAAAAATATTTCTAACGAGCTTAAAGGTAAGTTCTCGGACCACAAGCACAACCTTTTTGGTTGTGGATACCACTTCAAGTTATAATTTGCTATTAGAAAGGAATTGATTGCATGCAAACAGTTGCATTCCATCCACCTTACATAAATTTATGTTGTTTTGAAATGATAAAAAAAAACACAAAATTGTTTATGTTGATCATAAATCTTTCATGGCATATGCTAATCACCTAGAAACATGCTTTTATACCTATAAATGCAGACTTTTTTTTTAATATAATTAAGTTTTCTGATTTTGGTGGGAGTTTAATTAGATTGAGAGAAGGGATAGTGTTTCGCAAGTTACAATAAATAGAATTTTGAAATACTATTTTCTTTTCTTATTTCCGATTTATTTCCACTCTTTCAAAGTTTCCACTAACATGACAAGCGACTAAGGAAACTAGCAATAACACGATATCCCCGTTTCTATCCTTGTCCATCACACTTCTTGTTTTTTCCTAAACAATTTCTTCCTTAAGCTACCTTGCTTGTTTTTTTGACAAGTGTCTTCAAAGTGCTTTAAGAAAGGTATTATCAATTTTTCTTTTTTCTTCCCTTTTCTTTCCAAAACAACTTTTTCTAGCCTTTTCTTTTCCAAACACTTCTTTGTGAAATTTCAGCTTTTAGTATGGAGTGGTTTTGTAATGATTTCAATGTGATTACCATATCATTAGCCTTTTAAGTAATTGGAGACTAGCATTTTAACCTTTCATTTCAAGTTTTACTTCCCTTTAAGTTATTTTTATTTTAATTTAAGTCTTCTCGTTATGCTTTCATTTACATTTAAAAGTATAATTAGGAATTAATGATGCACACTTACTTAATATTCTAACCGACCTAATAAATTAAAGAAGTCTAACCACAAGTTGGCGATCCACTCGTAAAAAAACATTTATTTATAGACCGGATCAAGGATTCAATCTTTGTGACTACCATTCATGATAATTTATTTTTAGAATTTTCAAGATCATGTGTTAAGGAGTGTTTCTTAATCACGTTTAGAGATAAATAATCTTAAAAGGCATAAAAGCCGGGACAACAACATGCTTATTGTTGAAAAAGTATGAAAAAAAATGAAAAGACCATCACATTACCCCTAGACACTTTATTATTATTTTTAAAAAAAAAACAAAACACTTGAATCACCTTTGCCCGCACTGAAATTGAAGACATTGAACGCAAATTGGGACTCTATTTGGAAGGTCTCATGTACTTGAATTAAAGTTGAGGAAGATTTTAAAGCTTAGAAAGGGGGTACCCTGCGCCTTTTCTAGCTGATGACATCGAAACATGGAGTAAATTTTAAATTAGTCCTTCTCATTTATAATAACAAATTAATTAGTTTCTTCTTTTTAAAAATTAATTATTAGTTTCTTACATTTGAATTTCGACAATAATTTAGTTTTTTTATTTAATTTTTGTTAGATTAGTAATTTTTATTCTAAAATTACTTTTTTCTTTTTAGTTGAGGAAAAAATAGGTGAAAATAGAAGTAAACTATCAAAAGAAGACAATTTAAAAAAACATTAATATATTAAAAAAATTAATGAAAATAATAAATTTTTGAAAAAAATAAAATATGAGAGATTAAATAATTATTTTTTAAAATTAAAAATTAATTAATTTGTTTTTTAATTTAAGTTTTCTTTTTTTGGTGGGAGTTTAGTTGGATTGAGAGAAGGG